TAGGTCTTCTAAAAAGAGTTTCTGAGAACATTTCTTAAAAATATAGTCAGTGTTTTCAGCAAAGTTGGCCTGACTGTGCAGGAATGACCCAAAGTATTTAAAATTTGCCACAGTTTTAGTTTGGCCATTGAGTGAAAATGGAACCACTTTCAGGTCTTGTTAAGCTCATTTAATTAGATGTACTGTCATGGTGGGTTTAATGTTTCGAGCCCACATGCAGAAACACTCACGGAGAAGAGGAGTAAATGCAATAGTTTATTTACAATATGTACAAGTGATTTGGCAGAGCAACTGAAAGGATGACAATGACCAGGAAATCTGGAGCGGCTGCAAGCAAGGGAGAGAGATGGTGAGTTGAATGACAGTGGGAAATGACAAAACTCCTGGAATGTAGTTAGGTGCTTACTAGTAGTATGAGGCTTAGAGTCTGCGGAGGGGAGTGGGTTCCAAGTGGTGGTGTTAGAGAAAAGGGCGTAGGAAGGGCGACGGCGTTGGAGGGCGGACAGGTAGATCTGAGTGGAAGCACCGAGGAACAGCTGAGCGGAGCGGGCTCCCAGCTAGAGAGGGATCCTCAAAGAAGGTAGTCCTAGGCCAGAACACTTGGGAAACCTTTTCCAGAGTCACTAGTAGGCATCCTGAAAAGAGCGACAAGAGACTCGTAAAGAAAACACGAAGAAACCTTGAGACTACTCTGAATGTAACACAGTGACCTGATGTACCACTAAGGCAACACTCTGGCAGAGAAGTGCTGGCAATCAGGTCCGTCCTGTTGAACCAATCAGCACGCCCTCCTGACAAAACCCGAACCACTGGCGCCCTCTTCTGGATAGTAGATGATGCTGAAAAGGAAAACAAAACCATCCCCACAACCTGGTACCCAACATGTACATCCTTGTTTTATTAGAGAATATATATTTTAAGGTGCCAGTAATGCCTTAACTAATAATAAGTCATAAAGACTTTATGGTATTCTGATTTAGTGATGTTGTGTTGCCACTAGAATATGGATTAACAGAAAAGAGCAGTAAACGCAGTCAGACCCGAAAAGATGCAACTAAGGAACAGATTTATAAATACACAGAAAGCTACAGGATTTGTTAAAAGGATCCAGGACTATGCGGGTATTAAAGCCCCCCCCATCAGTTCCGGAACGCAATGGTCCCATTTCCAAATATGGTCCGCCACGTGCCACGTGGTCTGTCTCCACTCTTCCTGTTTGCTGACCCAATCCAAGGCGGATTCTTCAGTCTTTTCATTCATTCATTTTCACGGGATAGTTATCCGACACATCCGAAAGAAACTCCTAATCGACCGTCAGGTGAGATTCCTGTTAAAATGATTTTCCTTTAAGCATTATTAGAAACGGTCACCCAAAAGGTGGAGTTTTATTCGCGCCACAATCGAAACACAAATCTTAAAACAAGTTAAATTAAATGTTAACTAAATGCAAAAAAACTATGTTTAACTAGAATAAACAAATATTTACACGTGTAAAGAGGCTTGTAGTCTAATTTAGATATACGATCATACTTCTAGATTATATTAGCTTATAATTTACTTTGTGGTCAAAGAAAATACACGTCTGGGTATCAGAAAATGTACTTTATTTCAGACGGGGAGTTTTTACTACTTTCTGATAGAAAATAAATATGTCAATTCGATAAATAGTTTTGCCCCATGCGGGAATGAGTCACTTCCTTATTTTATCAAGGCGCCAAAATTGAACTGAAAGCGCGCTATTTTGTAGTGGAAATGTGAATTCATTAAAAACAAACGATCATCCTGAAATGGATGGACTTTATTTAGGTCTGAATTGAAACAGTGGTAGGAACCGGGATAATTACATCGTGTTTATTATTGCCGTCAGATTTTTCAACAACACATCCATGCATACAATATATTAAAACCATTTCAGCTCCACAGTAATAATTTCTGTAAGATACATATAAAAAATATGACGGACCTAATGATTTCTGACAAAACCTCATTAAAAAATGCTTTATGTTACTTAGAAGGCATAAAACATTTACATGATCACTGCATTCTCTTTTATAAAATCAAATTAGTGTGCCGGTTTTTAGTTTTCAGAAATTAAATATAACAAACTTTTACTACTAAAAATGTTGCAGGTTGATAGCAGAAGTTTTAACTTCAACAAAAATGAAAACATTAACGGACGCTTTCATTTCCTTATAAGCTTTGGTCCTTAGAATAAACACTAGATTTGTCCTAAAAACACATGCATTCCAAAAAATGAGAAGTTTTGGTTTTGATTCTTTTAATGAACAGAGGAAAGAAAAATGTAATTTTAAGTTGTTGAACCGATCAGGTGTAAAATACTGATTGTTAATATTTTCCTTATTGATTTGTAACATATTGTAAATTAAATATAGTTGATTTTGGGGCAACTTCATACTGTCAAGTTGCAAAATTATGCTTGTTTTTATGAGTGGAAGATTTATAATGAGCTACTGTTCTCTAAATACACTTTAATATCTTACTTAGGATTTGCCTGTTTGCAGAGGAGCGACAGAAGCAGCAAAATGTGGAATGAAAAGAAGCAAAGTTCACCTTCTGATCGGTGAGTTTGGCATCTTGTTGCTTTTGTAGATAAATAAACTTTGTGTAAAACACTCAGAGATGTTTTTTGTTGATACTCAGTGGTCAGATTGTTGCCATCATCATCTTCATTCTCGGTCTGGAAAGTCTGCTGCCCTGGAACTTCTTCATCACCGCCTCACAGGTTTTTTTTTATATAGATATATAAAAATCCTTTAATTTTCTGCTGTCTTTGTAAATGCATTTTGACATGAAGCATTTAAATTATTCTTTTTTGTTTCTCTGTCTTCAAGTACTTCAACATGCGGCTGAATGAAAGCGTCTCCTCTAACGGTACATCAGGCCCGGTGCAGAGAAAGTACAACTATGACAGCTGGATGGTTTTGCTCTCCCAGCTTCCTCTGCTCCTCTTCACTCTGCTCAACTCGTTGCTCTATCAGTGGTGAGTGCAGCTGAAGCTAAAATTTGGATCATTTCTTATTCGTCTTGTTTTTCGCTTCGTGTTTCAGTGATCTGGCATTATTTCATGAAAATCTTCCTCTGGCCCCTGCAGGGTGAAGGAGCGTCTCCGCGTGGCCTTCAGCCTGGTCGTCATCTTCCTCCTCTTCGCCCTCACTGCCGGCCTGGTCCAGGTCGACATGCAGCCCGACAGCTTCTTTTCGGTCACCATGGCAACAATTTGGTTCTTCAACGGTACGTTCCTGAACGTTATTTCTGAAATCCTCTGATTTCAGAATGTTAAACTGTTCGCTTATATTCTCGAGGAAACGTTGGATTGTCGAAACAAGTCACATAAAATATCTGCTTGGATGTGGAATATTTTAAGGAGCACTTTGATGCTGCTGTGGTTCGCATCAATCTGATTGTTTAAACCTGTGTGTGTTGATGTGTGTGTGCAGTGTTCAGTGCGGTGCTGCAGGGCAGCCTCTTCGGGATGGTCGGCCTGTTTCCTCCTCGTTACAGCACCGTGTTCATGAGCGGTCAGGGACTGGCTGGGATCTTCGCTGGTGTCGCCATGCTGTGCTCCATCATGAGTAAGAAAAAAAACAAACACCTGCATTATTATTTTTTTAAGGTTTTATTGGCTCTAGTGGCCTTTATTTGATAGTGAATTGACAGGAAAGTGGGTAATGAGAGAAGGGGGAAGACATGCAGCAAAGGTCAACAGGCTGGGAATCGAACCTGCGACAGCGACTAAGGCCTCCTTATGTGGGTTGTACTTAACCTCTGCACCACCGCAGCATCCACACCTGCATTATTGCAGTTACAGTAAACAATTTCTGTTCTTCTATAATGTTGGCTATAATACCCCTTTATATTATCTAAATCATACTTTTTTCAATTGTATCTTAAATGATTTTCAAATAAATTTCACGTAGCATCCACTCACTAAATCCCTTTGTCGATACTTAAGGAGAAAAGGAAAGTGCACTAGATAAAACAAGCGTAGCAACTATTATTTCCCAGAACAAGATTGGGACTCTGCGTTCAGTTCCTGACCAAGTAATCGCCTCTCAAGTGAAAGTTGTCTGATTTCTTCATGCATGTCTAGCTATACTTATCGGTGTTATAAGAGCCCACAACTGTTTATCAACCTCATCATGGATCATTTTGCTAATTCCAGATTAATCAGACAGAGCAAAATCAGCAAAAACATAAAACCTTACACAGCAATTTTGTCTAGCTTCTAGTGCAAATATCTTAGTTTTGATTTATTTGAAGTGTACTAACTTACAAGTAACTTTTTAGCAAGATGTAGAGGATTGTTTTGAGTAAACAATTCCCTGATATTGATGAAAAAATTTCTAGTTCTATTGGCAGATTATATGAAATTTTATGAATAATATGAAATTTTCCCCATGTTTTAAGTTAATTTATCTGCCAATGAAAGAAACACTTTTTCATCAATATTAAAGAATTATTGACTTAAAACAAGCCTCCATATTTCAAATATTCTAAGATATGGACCAAAATTACTTGGTAATATTTTGTGTTTTTGCAGTGCATCTGTAGTGGTGACAGCCAGAAGAAGCTGATCCTACAAAAAAATAAAAAATCTGTTTCTCTGCAGGTAAAAGTGACCCAAAGTCAGCTGCTTTGGGATACTTTGTCACTCCATGTTTGGTCACGTTAGGGGCTCTACTCTGCTACCTGCTGCTGCCACACCTGGTGAGCTGAGAGTCTCCAGATCTAAATACATATCAGGAAGCCTGGTACTTATGGAAAACATAAAAAATAAGAGACCAGCGATCAGTTTCTCTGATTTTACTTTTTATAGGTTTATGTTTGAGTAAAATGAACATTGTTCTTCTAGTCTATGAACTACTGACATGTCTCTGAAATTACAAGCAAAAATTTAGTATTTATTAGTAGAAAATGACAAAAAACATGCAGTGCTTTCAGATCGCAAATGAAAAGAAAACAAGTTAATGTTCATTTAGAAGCAACAATAATAAAGTTTTAACTCAGGAAAAGTTCATAAATCAACATTTGGTGGAATAACCAGGAGGTTTTCAAGGATACTCCAGAGCTGTATGTGTGTGAAATTGTGTATTTTTCCATCTGTTCAGCCTCCTGATGTTTCTCTTGCAGGAATTTGCTCATTATTATCTGAACAGAAATCAGGCTGTCAAACTGGACAAATCTAATAAGCTCCTCAGCAACACAGGTTGGTTTTATGTAGTCTAACTTAAAGTGACATCAGCTGACTTAATGTAATTAAGGATTTCGGTAATCTTTAACGTGTCTTTCTTATTTCTGAAGACAAAACAGCCTTAAATGGGAATGTAAAAGATCTGGAGGTGAGAGGAGTCCCAGAGGAGAGTAGCGAACGGTCTTCTGTCTTTGCCGTCTTTAAAAAGGTAAATTAATCCTCCCAGTTGTTTTCTATGTGATGAGAGACAGTTAAAGATGTAAAAATAAAGCCAGATCCAGCTGAAGATGAGACAAACCTGCTTTTCTTTCTCATCTTACAGTCCTCTGTTGTTGTCTGACAGATCTGGCTGATGGCTCTGTGTGTGACGTTTGTGTTTGCCGTCACGCTGTCGGTGTTTCCGGTCATCACAGTCCGAGTGAGGACGGTCTACACGAAGGACGCTGACTGGGGTGAGACACTGACAAGGCAGCAAGACGCATTATTTCATGTCTCACTCATTTATATTTAAACCCTGTAAATAAAGTTAGACATTTGTCTCATAATGGAGTCAATAGTTATTTGATATTTGTATTTTTTTATGATATAAAGTAGAATAACCTCTGCTTTTTCTTTTTGTGTAGTTGTAATATGTAATTAAATTTCTAATTTTAAGCAATGAAACAAATGTTATGTTTTGTTTTAATGCTGCTCTGTTTTCTGTGTCTTTCAGACAAAGTGTTTACGTGTGTCTGCTGCATTCTTGTTTTTAACATCATGGATTTGGCCGGCCGCAGCGCCCCGTCTCTCTTTCAGTGGGTGAGTCTGCAGACGCGCCTCCAGATTATTCCTCACTTCTACAGTCAAATCTTTAACACCTTAAAGGGAAACTGGATTTTCTTCACTGTACTGAGCTTTTTTGTATAAGATATGTTAGCGTAGACGTATCCTAACCTGTTCAACGAGCTTTAAAGTCTCGACCTGATTTCTGACTGCCTCCGCTGATGTTTGTGCAGCCGTCCAAACAGAGCCGTCTGTTTCCCGTCGCCGTTCTGTCCCGTCTCATCTTCATCCCTCTGCTCATGATGTGCAACATTCCCAACTCGAAGCTCACCGTCCTCTTCAGACACGACGGCGCCTTTGTTGTCATCATGGCTCTGTTCTCCTTCTCTAACGGCTACCTGGCGACCCTCTGCATGGCCTACGCTCCACAGTGAGTACTGAACCAGAACCAGGAAACATTAGACTCACTCAGTCTTCTGACAGCTGTAAAACCTAAAACCTCACATCATTTTTATTGATGGCTTTCTAAACATTTAAGTAATCTTGATGTTTTACTCAGAGTGCTGCGTAGCTCCAAGCTCTTTTCTGTTAGATGAAACTTCAGTCAGCTCCCTTTATCCACCAAACTCTCAAACTAACTACAAACCACCGGCTGCTACGAGATTCTCTTATCATAACCGTGAGTAAAAATAATACAGATGCAATAATTTCTACTGCAGTAAATTTGATAAAGCATTTCAAATGTTATCTGTGGCATAAATCTGTTATTTTGAAGTTTAGATTTAAGCAAAAATGATATTAAGCATCAGCTAAATGTAGCTGGGAAGATCTTGGAAAGGTAAGGTTTGAAAATCAGACACTTTTCAAAACACACTTCCTGCGGATGTGACCAGATTTTTCTCTTGCTTACGACAAGGATGGATACGGATGTTTACAAATATTTATCAGACAATGTGAAGGGTCTAAATTTTAGGCTAGTTTACTATGTCAGTAGTTAGTGAAATAGTAAACACAGAAAGATATTTCCCCGTTTTTAGTGAAATTATGGGAAAGATTATTTTAATGAAATAATTTGCCAATAAAACTAGAACTTTTTCATAAATTATTGACTTAAAACAAGTTTATACATCTTGTTGAAAAGTTATTTGTAAGTTAATTTTGTCTTATTTGTAATAATTTGTTTGCGATAGAAACCAAACACTTGGTAAGATTTTGTGCTTTTGCAGTGACGTAATTCAATTTGACAGAATATAAATAAATAACTGGGTTTCCAGCAGTGTATTACGAGCCTGGCGGGCCACCAGGCTTAGCATTGTTTATGTAGTTTAGTTTAGTTTTTTTATATTGCCTCTTTTTTTAAGACTTTGTAGTTGGTGTTTAGGTATTAGTCTTCTAGTAACACAGGTTTGTCAGGCTCTAAGTGATATTTACAAATTTTCTGTCAACTTTAAACATTTTTTAACTCAAAAACATGACGGGCTTCTGGATGAATGAGTGCTCTGGCGCCCCGATCACCGGGCTTAGCAAGTTTTTTTTTGGGAAACCCTGCAACTAATATGTTGAGTATAAATGTATTTGTAATTTTCAGCAGTGCAGATAATTTTTCTGTAGTAAATATGGCACCAAAACTGGCTCCCCTCCAGCCCAGGGCCCCACACCCTTGTAAAACCGGCCCTGTCTTCAGTAATCGATCAAACATTCAGCACAAAAATGAAAACTGGATTTTAGTTTCCATCTAAACTACAGAGCTGTTGAAAAATTCATCAAATATTTTGATGTTTCGCTTGTTTGGAACCTAATTTGCCAGATGACCAGCGCCACCTGCTGTAAAACATGAAAATAATCAACATTCAAAGCTACCAAGCTGATGGTTAAAGCTCAGTCAGCTTCATATTGGGTTTGGACAATCATGAGAGCAGGAGAGAAGATGAAGATTGATCCCTGTCTAGATCCCTGTTC